GCTCTTCTGTTTCCTCCCGCCCCCTCCCCCCCCGCTCCCCCTGCGGAGACCCCGTGCCGTGGTGCACCGGAGCCGCCTGCGTTCCATTCATTGGCATAACCCCGAGCACCTCTTTTCCCTGCAGCTGTTCTATGACCCCGATGGCCTCGGGCTGCTGAAAATGGCTTCCTTGTACTTCAGTGATTTCTGGAACAAGCTGGACGTGTGCGCCATCTTGATCTTTATAGCCGGGCTGGTCTGCCGGTGAGTCCGAGGGATGCGGAGGGACGGGCTCAAACGGCTCTTAGAACGTAAGAACGGCCCAGTATCCTGTCTGCTCACAGTGGCCAACGCCAGGTGCCCCAGCGGGAGGGGACACAACAGGGAGTCCTCACGTGATACCTCCCCTGTCACGCACCTCCAGACAAACAGAGGCCGGGGGCACCCTTCGTACCCATCCTGGCTAATAGCCATTGATGGACCTAACTTCCATGAATCTATCTAGATCTTTTTTGAACCCTGTTAAAGTCCTAGTCTTCACCACATCCTGTGGCAAGGAGTTCCACAGGTTGACTGTGCGCTGAGTGAAGAAAAACTTCCTTTTGTTTGTTTGAAATCTGCTGCCTATTCATTTCATTGGGTCATCCCTCAATCTTATATTGTTGGAATAAGTCAGTAACTTTTCCTTATTCACTATCTCCACACCAGTTATGATTTTATAGACCTCTGTCCTCTCTCCCCGTAGTCTCCTCTTTGCTGGAAAACCAGAGAGGAATTTGCCAAAAAAAAAAATGGTGTTTGGATTTTTTTGCGTGTAATCTCTACATTCCAAATGTGGATGAAACTTTCCATCGAAACATGGACTGTCGTGAGCAGTTCTGTTCTTTGTCATTCCGTGGGTCGGGTTTTGTGCGGCCTCCCTCGCTCAGGCAGGCCTCGAGGGGTAGATTCATTTGTTCCCCAGGAAAGCAGGTTGTGAATGTTTCTATGTTTAAAAAGAGCAGTAAGATGGGCTAAGATACCCGGGTGTGTCTGCTTTCCCCTGTCTGCGTCAGATGGATCCCATCCACTTTGTATCCAGGGCGGATCGTACTGTCGCTGGCGTTCATTATTTTCTGCTTGCGGCTGATGCACATTTTCACAGTCAGTAAAACGCTGGGGCCCAAGATCATCATAGTGAAGAGAATGGTAAGAGCGACGGGCTCCCCCAGCAGTCGGCGTGTCCCCCGTGGGGCCGGCGTACAGATCCGGGGACAGGATCCGTGCGTGTGTGCCTTCTGGGAGAGGCAATAACCGAGGAGGAGTGGAACCTTTTCACTGCTCCTCTGTCCCGGGGCTTTGCAGATGAAGGACGTCTTCTTCTTCCTCTTCCTCTTGGCCGTCTGGGTTGTGTCCTTCGGCGTAGCCAAGCAAGCCATCCTGATCCATAACGAGGAGCGGGTGGACTGGCTCTTCCGGGGCGTCGTCTACCACTCCTACCTGACCATTTTTGGGCAGATCCCTACCTACATTGACGGTACGGCGTCCAAGCACAGACACAGCCCCGCGCTGGGCTCACGCTGCTGGCTGGTCTGGCGCCGCCACACAGCTCAGCTCCCGGGGTGAAAGGATGCAACCGAAACGCCACATGAGAGGCAGAGCGAGCAAGGACGGAGCAGAGACTCGGGAGGGGTGCAAGGCCTGGTTTGCCACTCGCCTTCCTGCTTTACCGCACGCGCCCTGGCTCAGACCAGGGCCACTGAAGGCCGGGGCCCCTTCCTGGATCTCTCGCCGTGTGGAGGATGGTGCAGACGTGAAGCACAGCGGGCCAGGCATCCTCTCCTGGCTGCCTGCGCAGGCCAGGCCCCCGTGGGTGTCAGTGGGGCTAGGCTCACTGGTGCCGGTGGAGCATCACACCCATAACCCTGCGGTCCTGCTCGGCGCGAGGAGGGGGGGCGCCATTCAGTAATCCCCGGTCACATGAGTATCTCTGGTTTCCGTGGCAATACTCCTGCCCGCGAGGCGCTCTGAGGGATTAACCCTCGCCCAGCCAGATGGCAGAACCAACGCCGCGGCCTGGGACGCGGGGAAACGAGGGCGAGCCTGACGTGGGGGGGTGCCGTTCGGAGGCTGGGGGCCGGGGCTCCCCACGTAGAGGCGAACGCAGCGCGGGGTCGGGGGTCCCGGGGGAAGGCCTCCGGCCTGCAGGCAGGGGGGCTGAGCGGCTGCGTCAACACGGCGCCGGCCGACAGC